TATATATATAAAACAAAAGTAGAACCATTCCACACAGAAGACTACTCCAGATCGTAAGTCACTCTCAAGCTGAGCCTTACTGTTTCCTAGCATTTGAATGTGTTTAAACAGCATCTTCCCATAGTGACCCTATATAGGGTTTCTGAGGAGCATCTGGTGAGCTTGCAGCCGTGCAGTTCAAATAGCTATGCAGTCTGGCACATTAACCCACAGCACCACCCCAGGACTCCACTCGATACATATGTAAAGAAGAGGATAACTCAAAAAAGTATTGTTACTAGGGCACTAGTTCAGACACACAAGGGTTTATAAGGAACAAAATATGTTTAAACATGTCTTTGTGATCTATGGATAGCTACAGGCAAGTTCTCTCAGTAATACACTTAGTCTCATTAGGGTGACTTCAAAAGAAAGATACAATCACAATAGCAGCTTTATAGGGAACTGTTTGTTGGGCCAGTTCAATTCAAGGCAGAGAAGTCAGCTCAGAAGTTACAGAGACTGTTTTTCAAGATTACAATGAAGGAATCTTGATAGAATTTCTCAAAGGACACAAGACAATCACAGGGGTTTATTATGAAGAAGTTTTAAGAAAATGGAAAACTGCACTGGTGAGAAAAAGGCCAGGAAAGTTGCACTGAGGAACTTAAATTGAAGAGTGCAGAAATCTTTGTTGTTTTTGTTAAATGCCATCAAGCCAGTTCCAGTACGCAGCAGAGGAAAGGAAAGAAAGGTGGATTGAGTGCTGACTTAAAGAGTAAGCTGAACAAGAGCATTGAGAGAGAAGAAAAACAGGTGGACTATGGGCTGGTGTGGAGTGGTGCAGTCATCTTGAACTTTTGTGAGCAGCTGTCAATATAGCTACCTGTGGGTATAGAACACAGTTGGAGGCTGGCAGCAAGGGTGTGCAGTTCTGTCTTGTGCTGGTGTCTTTTTGGAAGACTGAGGTCAGTGGCACCCTCTTCTGCATAACTTGTGCTCTGCCTGGGGTGGGCAGTGGGCACAGTATCCCTGTTTGTGGAGGTATGTGAAGCTGCCTTGAACAGTGAACAGAGAACTGTGTTCACCCTTCTAGTCTCTACCACATCCACCAGAAGACAAGTAGCAAGTGCCTGAGAATATACTAACATACAATCATCAACTAAATATAAATGCTGTTTAATGCTGTCGAGTAAGTTTGGACTCACAGTGACCTAGTATAGGGATTCGGAGGAGACGTTGATGGATTTGAATTGCTGACCTTTGAGTGGAAGTCAAATACTTATCCTCCAGCACCACCACTATACAATGTCTGGGAGAAAATACATAATTTTACCTTATATAAAGAAAGAAAACCATAGGCAGACCGACTGTTACTACAAGAACAAGCAACATGCTTGCCCAGAAAACATCAAGGCAAGTGGTCGGGTCCCCACAGAGAAAACCCCCTTTTGAAACTAAGACTCAATGGGAATACACGCTGTGATTGGTGACCACGCTCGAGATCGATAAGGGGAAGTGAGGGAAAAGCAGCAATGAAGCGGTGAGCTAAGCCCTACAATGTTCAATAGACTTCTGTGAACCCGGGTGAAGACCTGGTTGGCCAGCAGTGTGGCAAGACCTGGGGACTCTTGGGCCCAGAGTCAGTGGCATAGCCACAGAGGACTAGAGTGGAGAGTGAAGCGTCCAGCTTATAAGAAGAGAGGGCATATGCATAAGAACACCCACACTTGCAGATGGTACCTACCTGTCCTGGCTTAGATGACTGGATGATCGCAGCGCAACCAGAAATAAAAAGAAGAGGAAAAAAAAAAAATATATATATTCTCAAATAATTTGATGAACTTGACTTACACCTATAGAAGCAGTAGCTCAAAGGAGGGAACAAGTCCTTACAGCGAGAATCATTCCCACCCCCTCCACACACAGGGTAGACAGGGATGGGCAACTTGGACATTGGCTACCCAAAATGGGGGGTAGGGGGCTACAAAGGCAAGAAGTGACTGGCTTACAAGCTTTCAAGAGGGAACCTAGACCCAGAGGGCCTGGAGGAAGGTAGAATCTCCAGTGAGTAGTGTTCAATCTGACTAGGCGGGGCTGATGCAATGAAATGCAGACGGGTCTCTTGTGATACAATGGTGAATGATTGTTATCAGGACTGACTGTGAGGGTTGGAAGTGTAAAGGTGGACGTTTTATAGCAAGGAGGGGAGTGACTGACTTTTCGGTCTGGGAGCGGAGGTCCCTAGGACCAACAAGGGAGAAGCGCAGAGAGCGGGACCCTACCCAGAGAAGCAGTGATGCCTGAAATGCAGCCAGAGATGATGACGTGGAGCTATGGAGCAGCTGGAGACTTTGGATCCAGAGAGGGAGAGCGACTGTGTGCTGAAGACCTGAGGGGCACAGGGGAAGGATTGCATGGAGGGGATTTTAACCATAGCAATGAGACGATATACGATAGAATGAATTTAAAAGTAATGTTCTCCCATGTAAACTATCACATAATTCACAAAAAATCATTTAAGGAAAAAAAAAAAAGAAAGAAAACAAGAGTGCCTCAAACTACTCATCAAAATACAAAGTCAGAAAATAATAACAGTAGAAATGGTATAAGAACTACCTGATAAGGAATTTAAAAGAATGCTAATTAGGCAACTTAGATTGAGAGAAAGATCAAGAAAACTACAAATGAAATCAAGGAAAGCATGGACAAAACAATGGAAAAAATTGATTAAAATAATTGAAA